TACAGTGAGAAAGACTATAATACTGCACCCACTTAATTCTTACTAATGCAAAAGGAATAACTGCAACTTCAGGCTATGTTTTGAGAAGAGACTTTGGGCCTTAAATCACTTCTCTCTTTTCTGTCCAACTCCACCAACTTCACATCTTTTCCTTCCTGCAGCTCTGCCTTATCCGGGTTTTCCTCTCCCCCTGCTGGATCCTCTCCCTTCTTTCACCTCCTGGCCATGGATATTCTATGAGGTTTTGTCTTCAAGCGCCTGCTGTGCTCTCTCTCTCTTCTTCAGAGATCCAATGACACCCATGGCTTCAGCTGTCTCAGCGATGCTTTAGTGCAGGGGTGGGCAAACTTTTTGACTCGAGGGCCACAATGGGTTCTTAAACTGGACCGGAGGGCCGGAACAAAAGCATGGATGGAGTGTTTGTGTGAACTAATATAAATTCAAAATAAACATCATTGCATAAAAGGGTACGGTCTTTTTTATTTATTTAGTTTTATTCATTTCAAACGGGCCGGATCTGGCCCGCGGGCCATAGTTTGCCCACGGCTGCTTTAGTGTCAGGTTGGTGTCATTCACATGCCAGTTTCCCATGGTCTCAACACCACACTCTAAAATCTGAACTCACGATCGTGCCCCCAACCTGGTTGTTCCTCTTGGTTTCTCTATTTGTTAATGTTATGACTTTCCAAGATAATGATGCTCAAAACCCAAACATCATTGGGCTGTGGACTCATTATTTCCCCCAAATTCAGTTAAAAAAGTCTTACCTTTTATTTTGTTTGTTTGTTTGTTTATTTATTTATTTATTTATTTATTACTTTTTCTTATATTTTTATTGATTTCAGAGGGGAAGGGAGAGGGAAAGAGAGAGAGATAGAAACATCAATGATGAGAGAGAATCATTGATCTGCTGCCTCCTGCACACCCCCTACTGGGGATTGAGCCTACAACCCGGCCATGTGCCCTTGGCCGGAATCAAACCTGGGACCCTTCAGTCTGCAGGCCAACGCTCCTTCCACTGAGCCAAACCAGCTAAAGCTAGTCTTACCTTTTAAATGGCTCTTTCATTTGTCCCTTCTTTTCAGCTCCCGCCACCTGAAGCACCCCGGATAAAGGATTGCCATATCACACTGACTGTTGCCCTAGCCTCCTAACTGTTCTCCCTACTGCCAGTTTCATCCTGGATCCGATTACCACTCTTTTGGTCTTAGCCTACGGATGCAAAACAACCATTTAAATCTGGCTGCTTTCTGGCTATTCAACCAGATTCCAACTTGATTCCAACTTACCCCTCCAAACTTAGTGTCTACTATTGCCCTCAAGTGAGCCTTCCATAACACTCAGACTAAACATTCCTATACCATCGCTCTCACATTTCCCCCCATGAATTGTCCTTTTCATTAATCAGTTCACTTACTCAACAAATATCTGTTAAGCACTGCCGTATGCCTCGTACCTTGGCTATAATAATTGGTCAAACTCATTTCTGTTCTCACAGATTATAGCCTAGTGTGGAAGACAGATATTCATCAATATGTTCAGCAAATATTTACTGGGCACTGTTGCATGCCAAACACTGTTCTAGATCCTGGGAGTGCAGCAGTATACCAAACAGACAAAACTTCCGTCACCATGGAGCTTACATTCTGGTGGGAGGAGATAGCCAGGAAATAGAGCAAGTGAAATATATAGCATGTTAGGTGGTAACAATGGCTATGGAGAAACATAAAGCAAGGGATGGAGACAGAATTTTTGAGGGATTTCAGTTTTTAAAAGGATAAGCAGATAGCTCTGGCCAGTGTGGCTCAGTTGGTTAGGGTTGTGGGTTCAATTCCTGGTCAGGAATACCCAGGTTTTGGGTTCGATTCCAGGTCGGGGTGTGTACAGGAGGCGACCGATCAATGTTTTTCTCTTACATTGATGTTTTGCTCTCTCTCCCTCTCCTTTCCTCTCTCTCCAGAATCAATGAAAAACATATCCTCAAGTGAAAAAAAAAGAAAAAGAATAAGCAGACAGGCCCGAGAAGGTGATATCTGCGTGAACATCTCAAGCAGGTCCTCAGGTGAGTCGTGAAGACATCTGGCAGAGTGTACTACAGGTACACAGATGAGTACATGCATAGGCCCTGGAGTGGAAACATGCCCGGTGTGTTGTAGGTCCTGCACAAAGGCCAGAATGGCTGGGGAGTGAGGTAGAGGAGTATGACGTGATCTCAGAGGGGGCTAGATTTCGTAGGGTTTTGCAGACAAATGGAAGGCCTGTGGCTGACAGTGAGTGAGATGGGGAGTGATGAAATCTGGCCTGTGTGGCCTAGCTACTGGATTAAGGATAATAAAAAAGAAATGGGCAATAAGGGTAGAAAAAGGAAGACAACCTAGGAGGCTCCTATAATAATCAGTACAGATGATGGTGGTTTGGACAAGCGTGGGAGCAGGGTTTGCTAACAGACTGAATGTGGGGTGAAAATAGAGGAGTCAGTGATGACCCTAAGGTTACTGCCCTGAGCAAATGGAAGGATGGAGTTACTGTGTCTGACATGTAAGGACTGCCGAGAGGGAAGTTTGGGGATGGGGTGATGACCAGTTTTAGACTAATGAAGCTTGAGGTGCCTATTAGCCATTAAGGAGGAGAGGCCAAGCTGCATTTGGATATTTGATTCGGAGTTCAAATGAGAGATCTGAGAATCACCATATAGATGTCTTTAAAAAAAAGTTTATTTTATTTTTTTAAATATATTTTATTGATTTTTTACAGAGAGGAAGGGAGAGGGATAGAGAGTTAGAAACATCGATGAGAGAGAAACATCGATCAGCTGCCTCCTGCACACTCCCCACTGGGGATGTGCCCGCAACCAAGGTACATGCCCTTGACTGGAATCGAACCTGGGACCCTTGAGTCTGCAGGCCGACGCTCTATCCACTGAGCCAAACCGGTTAGGGCAGTTTCTTTTTAATAGAATATTTCAAACAGATACAAAAATATAATAGTACAATTCCCATGTATCCATTACTTAGCGTCAACAACATTGCTTCTTGTTGTTTCTAGATAGTATTTAAGCCTTGAGATTGGATGATATCGCCAAGGGAGTGAGGTGGTAAGAGAAGAGGGGGACCAGGTCCTGGACTGCCCCAACATTGAAAGATTGAGCAGATGAGGAGGAACCAGCAAAGGAAACGGAAAATAAGCAGTCAGTGAAGTAGGAGGAAAACCAGACTGCAGTGACCTGAAACAATTCCCAAATGACAATTTTTTTTATTTTTGTTAATCCTCACCCAGGGATATTTTCCCATTGATTTTTAGGGAGAGTAGAAGAGAGAGGGAAAGACAGAGAGAAACATTGATGTGTGAGAAACACATTGATTGGTTGCCTCCTGCATGAGCCCCGACCAGGGTCTCGGCCAGGGAGGAGCCTGCAACCAAGGTATGTGCCTTTGACCAGAATCGAACCTGGGACCCTTTGTTCGACAGGCCGGTGCTCTTCCCAAATAACAATTTAATTACAGTATAAGTGCCGAGGGAGAAGAATGTGTAGCATGAGAACTAGCGTAGTTTGGGGGCCAGGAGAGGCCTCCCTGGGGAAGTGACATTGAAGCTGCCGTGGTCCCTCATCCCATCTCCAACTGCAACCCTGCTTCCTTCATCCCGCTTCCACTCTGACACCGCACTCCTCCTTTCTGGGATGGCTTTTTCAAGGATGTGTCAGCCAGTAGGGGGCGCTGGGGACACAGTGATGAGAAAGACAAGTTCTGCCTTCAGGGGGCTTGACCTCCAGTGAGGAGACAGACAGCAAATGATTTCTTTAAAAGTGTTGAGTGCTACCATCACATAAGCAGAGTGGGTCTTGAGAGCACCAGGTAGGAGCACATACCCCAGCTGGGGGGAGTCGGGAAAGGCTGCCTGGAAGTAACACCTGAGCAGAGGATGGACACAGGTTGCCTGCGTGCATACCCTTCCACCTGGCTTGGCGCTTTCAAGTGTTAACCCTGACCCACCTGCTTGGATTCCCAGTCTGCCTGAGGTCTCTAGCCAGCCCACGTCCTGGGCCTCACCGCTGGGCTTTCCTCTTCTGAACTGGTCGAGCCGGGCATGCCCCTGAAGTCCCCTTTGTCCTGCTCCACCACCCTCTCTGCTCTGGAAACTGCCATTGGCCTGTTTTCCCGGAAACACGCAGGGGGTCGGGCCTCCCATCATGCCTTTGGGACTAAGAGTGGCCTAAGGACTCATTTTAAGGAAGACAGATATCTGAGGACAGGCAAGAAGAGCATGTGGGCAAATCAGTAACAAACCACTGCAAAAACGGAAATCTCCTGCCATCAAGTTAAAGCCAGGAGGGGAGGGAACACGCTTATGTTGTTCACCAGGGATCCCCAGCTATGCTAGCAAGGTGCATAGCAGAAGATGTGTTCAATCAATGTTAAATGTGTAGTTCTTACAAGACTACAGTTCAATTCAGGGCACAAGCCCTAAGCTGTGCTCCGACTGCTGCATAATTTCCCTAGCTCTTAAGCGCAGAATGCCTTCCTCAGACCAGGCAATCAAGAGGACGCTTTGCAAAGACGTTCATGCGGCCACTTGATGGCTCTCTGAGGAACAGGTGCAAGCAGTCTGTTTCGCAGCCAGGCTTTTCTTGCATAAATTTCCAATCAAAGGCAACTGTTAGTATTCTCCCGCCGTGGTCCCGGCTTCCGGAGGCAGCACGTTCCAAGGCCCGACACCCAGGGAGTCGCGGCGGAGGGCAGCCCAGTAACCCATCTGCTCCAACGCCCCTTTCCCTCCCCGCCTGCCCCGATCACCGCCCTGGAGCGGGGCGGGCACCTGCCAGCGTCTGCGCACTCGCCACCCACCCACCCATCCCCGGTACCCGGGGCTGCTGTCGCGCCCGGGGCTGCCCGAGAAGGGAAATCCCGGAGGAAGCCCTAGTGGTTACTCCCGCGTCCCTGCTGTCGTCATCAGCTGAGGCGTGCCCAGCGGTTCCTTCTATTCTCGGGCTCGCCCGCCCCAGCCACTTGGGGCGGGGCTACCGCATCCGAGCCCTGTAGGTGCGCGGTGGTCCCTCTCTCGGAATCCGGGAAGCCCCAGGCCGGGTGCGGAGCTTGGAAAACCGACGGCGCCAGGCGGGACGTGCCCAGCCGCGGCCCTGGCAAAGGCGGCGGGAACACGAGCCGCACGCCGGCTCTGACGCGAACAGCAAGGTGACCTTAGCTGGTGGCTCCCTTTCCCGCCGCGTCAGTTTGCGCCCCTGTAACTCAAGGAAGGAGCGGAGGTCCCGCGCCTCCAGGGGAGGTTGGAAGGAGAACGCCACCCCCTCGATTGCCCCCTAGCGGTGCGTGGGCTTTGGGCTGGGCTTTGGGCGGGGAGTGGGGTGAGGGCGCTCGCTGGGCGCCGCGTGGGTGGAGGTGAAGCGCAGGCGGCTCTCAAAGACCCTCCGGTTCTTCCGTTTCGCACGACTCCCCGGCTCGATACGATACCTACGCGCACGCCGCCCGAAAACCTTGGCACCAGCCGCACTCTCCCCCGCAGGAACAGCCAGCCCGCGCCCAGCTAGTTTGCCTAATCCGTCCAAACCTCACCTCCTCCGCGAAGCCCTCCCGGATTAACCCCATCACTTCTAACCACTCTATCTGGCACATGCTCTGTTTTTGTTTTTGGAAGTGCACACGTGGTCTCATTGTTTGGAATAACAGAGTCCCAACATTCAGGAGCCCGGTGTGTTCTGCAGGGTGCGGTTGATGGGTTTCTTGCCGCGGCTTACTAACCACTCCCGCCCTCCACGTTTCCCATGCGGGCTTCCCTCTTCCGCCTCCTCATACGGATCCTCCGCGGTAACAGAATCGCAGCTTGGAGTGCACAGTCCAATCACCACCCACCTTTCAATCCACACGACAGCAGGTGTGAGGGCAGAGCGCACTGAGCCTTTGAGGCTTCAGCTCCAGGTGGGCCACCCACTTTGCGGTAAGTCACTCCTTATCCCGGGCCCAGTTCAAGGGAGGCAATGCCCGGAAGGCGCTACCGGTTTGAGGTAAGGAGCCACCTGCTGGCAAGCTGCCCGCAGCCTCCCTCCAGGAACCGCGTCTTGTGACCCCCGAGGGAGGGCGCACCCTCCTCCCTCCTTCAGCTGCTCCGGAATCTGAGCGACGGGCCCGGCCTTCTCTCCAGTCACCAGTGCAGCGCCCCGGGTTCCAGCCCTTTATTCACCGGCTCCAGGACCGGCTGGGACTCTTCTTTCTCTGGGACTCAGTTTACTCATCCGAAAAAGAGGGGTAAGAACAGATCGAAGGAGAGCAGGAAGCTTTTTGTCATCCAAAGTTTCTGCATAAAAATAAATGGTAATGGACGGCACCGTGCTTGGCAGCAGAGTGAGCTCACGACTTCTGACCCAGCTTCCTCCGCGAAGTGGTTTCTGGCGGGAGTCCTGGGTGCTCTCCCAGATGCCGCACCCGCTCACCCCACTCCTCCTGGTTCTCTTGAGACGGGTACTGGACCGCACCTGTTTCTGCCGCCGTGTGGGGGCGGGGGTCAGAGGTGACGGGGTGGCGGAAGCGGAGATGCCCGCGCGTCCGCTTACGGGGGGCAAAGTCACCTGGATGAAGGTTGGTCCAGGAGACACCCCCCTCCCCACCCCGCTAGAGGCCGGGAATAGGTGGGCGGGGCTAAGACTCGGGGGCGGGGCTATGGAAATTAGGCGTCTCTGAACCCGGCGGGGGTGCCGAGGGCTCCAGCCCCCCACCCCCACCTCCACCCCGGACCTGGCTCCCGCGCGGGGCCCTGGGGCTCTGCATCTGGGGGTGGGGCTGCGGGGCGGGGCTGAGGCCTGGGGAGGCAGGCGGGGCGCCCGGAGGCGGGGCTTGGGGAGCTCGCCCCACGCGGGGCGGGGCTGCCGCGGCCGCGGGAGCCGCAGTTCGGACTCCCCGCGCCACAGTCGCCGCAGTTCCCTCCCCTCTGGTGGCCCCGCTGCCCCGCGGAGAGCCCGGGGTCGGCGGGCGCTGGGACTAGGCGCGGGGCCGGCCCGCCTCCCCTCCCTCGGCGGGGCCTGGACGGTCGGGCCGCGGGGACATGGAACCCGCTCCCGCCGCGGGGGGCTCGGAAACGACTCCCTGGAGAGCCCCGCGGGACCGCGAATCCACGGGGGCGGCTTGGATTGAATAGGGAGGACGCCCGGGCAGGCGGCGGCCAGGCCCCCCCTTCGCCCCGGCCAGGCACGCGGTCGGGTTCCGTTGTGTAGGGGTGTGTTAATTCAACCGCGGAAAATGATTTGGATTGCATTTTTTTTTTTTTACAATAAAAGAATAAGAAAACAGGTTGATGTGGGACCCCAAGGAAAAAAACCCCTGTCTGAAGGCGCCAAATAA